GTCAATCTTTTATGAGCAACATCTTCCAATGGGAAATACCGCTACCCAGCCTGTCCACAGGTGAGGGATAATGGAATGACTGTCAAGGAAGGTTAGCTGCAAAATAAGCAGGGGTCACTCTGATGGATAAGCGGTTGTGGACCAAGCAGCGGAAGCACCAATAAGATGTAGTGGGGATAGCAGATGTCAATGTTTTCCCTCCTGAAAAGCCACATACATCCTTTGACAGCGCTGTGACATGGTGAGTACAGGTTGCTATTATAATAAGCCTATCCAGCCCCCAGCTATAGGTCTGCAAGTCCTCAACAGCAGAGCAGATGGAAGATGTTAGCATTTCAATACTGCAAAGGAGGATGAGTCTGCAGCAGAATGATATGTCCAACTGTCTTGGCCTCCTTGTCATAGGAGCAAGTTTCCGTTCTGTCACGATCCAGGTGGAAGCTGATGTGCAGCAGCTTCTCCATGATAAAATAAATCAGCACAGGCATCTTCCATGAAAATGGCTTTGCCAGCACATATGTAACACTGATTATTTTTAAGTTTTAAATAAAGTAATTGGATGTTATATTTGCATCTGATGAAGTGAGCTCAGGCTCACAAAAGCTTATGCATATCTGATTTAAACAGTCTATAAGGTGCAACTTTACCCTGCCTTCCGCCTGACTTCAGACTAAGACGACTAACTCCTGCCCTCTGCTTGATGACATACATTTAGCTGCAAGAATAACATGCAAGTGTCTTGAGGAAAGTTAGTCTAAACATCACAATAAAATGCAAAAAATTCAAAGGATTGAAAACTGCTACTTAAGTCATACTAACAGTGGGCCAGATTCCAAAAATGCCTTGCTGTATAGGCACTCACTCCTGTTCCAAGTTTCTTACCTCATATCAATCACTGGGATTGCTTATGGAGTAACGGTGTCAGAATCAGGCCCCCCGCAGTCCTGCTGATTTAAGTGCAATGACTTGTAGAGTAAGGTGCGTGACGCTGGCACGATATAGCTCGCTAGAAATCATACTGCCTAGGGCCAGGTCATGCTCTCTCAGAAGAGTTAAGATGGATGTAGTTCTTCTCTCATAGCAGCATGCAGCAGCTTTCTTCATCTATGGATACAGGGTGGGTTCTGACATCTCTTCTCACGCTGAGTCATATGTACCTTACAGGATTAGCAATATCCTTGCAATCACAGTGTGAATGAGGGTGGCAGGAAGTGGTCCAAGGAATCAAGAAGCCCAGTGTAACAGCTCGTTTTTCACTTCATTTTTAACGCCTGTTAGATTTTTGTCTCAACCTCATTTTTTTATTTCCCCCCCCACTTGCTGTGATGAGTTTCAAGGGCAGGGGAGCAACCCCTGATGCTCTGCTCTCTGATTAGCCACTCTGACTGCTTCCAAGTCCTATGTAGTTGTATGTTTAAATACTACATGCACCAACATCTCCAAATCCCTGTGTGCAACTTTCCTAATTTCAATCCTGTACCTCAGGGGAGTGCAGGCCAAAAAGGATGTGAGATCAGCCAAAAAAGAGGTGTTCCTGGCTCCAGAGAGCACTTTGCACCTATTCAGAAAGTGTGTTTGGAAGGTTTTCCACAACTGGAGGCATATAATTTACTCTGGCTGTGGGCAGGCACGGTATTTGTAGTATCCTTTTTAACCACTGCTTTTCAGATCATGCGCCTCTCAATGGGAATAATTATTAAACCACTGTGGATGACTATGGATCCTGGGTCAGAAATCTGGGCAACATCAGACCAGCTGTTTCAATAACAGTGGGTCAAAATTGCTTTTGGCCACTCCAATTGGGATTTTCTTCAGTTAATTTAAGATAATGACTTCATGTTTAAAAACAAAACAAAGCAAAAAAAGAACTAGAACAGTTCATTTTTCTCTGAAAAGGAAAGATCTGGGCCCAAGTCCAGCTCCCCCTGTAAGCAGCTATATGGCTAAAGTTAGATATGTAAATAGCTCTTCGTACCCCTTATATAGATCTTAGATTTGGAGATCTTATATCCGCTGTCCACCTGTGCAACTAGACTTGGCCAAATGAGTATGCTCATTAAGGATCTGCAGGTCCTTTTCGCCTAGAGATCATGGGCTAAACTTGAATCAAAGTCACATTAAAAGGTGCACCTGCTTGGAAAAGTTCAACTCTAAAATGAAAAGTGTCATGACACTTAAGGTGAAGAGGAGATGGTGTAAGGTCTTGGTAAATTATGAACCAGTCTAACATGCCCAATATAGGACCGATCCAGAGCTCACTGAAGTCAGTGAGAATCAGATCCTGGAATTAAACACAGCCATAGACCCTTGTGTGTAGAGTGTGATACAATGGGAGGAATAATATAAACCCAGAAGTGCAAATGTTTACTAAGTTTCCTGTCTTATATGGTTCAGCATCCAGGAAACAAGTCCAGTATTCCCACTGACTGCAACAGGACTACTGATGTGAAAAAAGATAAAGCCTAAGCAAGTCTCTACAACACCAGGCCTTAAAATAAGCCAGTAATAACTGCTGCCTATCATGGGTACCCTAGGGAACATCTGCTATAGCCAATTGCCCTTTCTTTTTATTTTTCTTCCCCCTAACAAGAGGATTATGATTCTCACTGTTGATTAATCCTTTACCAATATTGAATTACAGCAGACTTCCTTTTTTGTAAAAATCACAATAAACTTCCTCTAGTACAGCAGTATCTGTGCTTCCAGTTTCTATGTAAGGGCCCAGGAACAATTAGCTAACAATAATTAATCACACTGGCTGAGACAGGCCTCCCTCAATAAGCCGTGCCTTATTTGTTTGAATTTTGTGATTTTTTAAAATCTTTCTGTCAGGTGTTAGACTACCAAGACTCTGCCTGGTTTCACAAATAATTTGGTATCCATATATTAAATGATATACCATACATCTATATGGTAGAAAGGTAAATCTTCATTTTCTGCATACAATTCAACTTCTGTTTAATGTGCACATTTTCCTCACTTTAGAAGACCATGAAATGCCTCAATTGATGAACAAAATAATGTCCCAATTCCCCCAAAACACACATCTGATCTTTTAGCATCGTTAGATAAGTAAGCCTAGGTCTGAAGAGACACGTATTTTCTGTTGGTCCTTGACTAGTAATAATTAAGCTTAAACCTGGACTCAGAGAGACTGGAATAATTTAGTATCTCTTCTTCCCTCTCCTTCAGAACACATGCAAATATGATCCAGAAATAACTTTTCTATTTCACAGCAGCTGGCACAGTCAGGTGTTAAGATTGGCTTTTAACTTATGATCACACTGACTACTAAACAGTATAAATTTTTTGCAGTGACATCTTGCCAGCACATAGCAACTTGGACTACAGTTCCTGTTTTTATAAACTTCCAACCTTTATAAGTAAAATCCACTTTTACTGTCAATACACTTCAAAATTAACTTAATGCCAGTTTAGATTTCCCCCCATAATTTTCACATTCCCAGAAATTACTAGAAGAATTAAAAAGTAAAGGAAAAAAATAGGCATTTAACTTCACACTTGTATCTGCTGCTTCTTCAGGCTGCCAGCTGCTCATAACCTCACCTCAACTTTTTATTTTCTTGGGTACATCTGCCACTTCAGAAGTGTGATGACACAGAAGAATCAATAAAACAAAGTTAGTACAGGTTTTCAAAGCTTCCCGTGTGCCAGGACATTGCTTAGATTGACACAGTCCAGAAAAACACAGACTTCAGTAGACCAAGGAACCTGCAAACACTTAGTACTGCCAAAGGCTTCAATTCAGCAAGGAAATAAGCACGTGCGTGACCTGAAGCATGTGAGTAATCCCATGAAAGTTAACAGAACTAGTCAGTTATAAGCACTTTTAAGTATCTGAGTAAGTACCCTGCTAATGTCAAGGAGACCATGTGTGTTTAAAGTTAAATATGTGATTAAAGATAAAATTTCTCAAAGTCTTTTGCTTAACTTTACTACCGTGGCTTGTCCCAGTGTGACTTGAGAAACTTCTTTCTTAGGGAGTATGATCCAGACCTAACTGAAGCCAATGACAGTCTTCTTTGGCTTCACCAGGCTTGGGACCAAGTCCCTCGAGAGTTTCACTAAAGTCACAGATTATTTGCAAGAGTTTGCAGGGTCAGCCCTTAAGGTTCACCTGTAAGAATCCCTCCCAGGGTGCCAGGAGGACTGTGCATTCTTCAGGAAGGAAGAGCTAAAAGCACACAAACCTGGAGCTCTACAGTACTTTGAAATGGAATAGACATCTGACAATTAAAACTGAGACACACCTAGAAAGCCTAGTGATTAGGGTACTTGCCCAGGGAGAAGGAAACCCAGATTCTCAGCAAGGGAAGTTTAAATTAGATATTAGGAAACACTTTCTCAGTCGGACGGTAGCAAAGCACTGGAACAGGTTACCAAGACAGGTGGTGGAATCTCCATCCTTGGTGGTTTTTAAGACCCAGCTAGACAAAGCTTTGGCTGGGATGAAATAGCTGGGGCTGGGCCAGCTTTGAGCATGGGGTTGGACTAGATGTGACCTCCTGAGGTCCCTTCCAACCCGCACTTAACATGGCTAGCTTTAGCTGCTTAAGTGGCATTTTGAGCAGTTTAGGAAGATTTTAGACCCTAATCCCCACTACGCCACTTGCCTTATCCTTCTGAGCACACCCAGAAGATCCCATTCTGGCTCCTTACTATTTGCGGTCATCCTATCCCTCCTAGGTAGGCATGTGAAGGTCTCCATAATGGTAGCTGAAGACCAACAGTATCTAGCAACTGATGGAAGAGGACGACCTTCCCACCTTTTAGTGAAATAGCCTAGGGATTAGGAGTCTTTGCTCAATTACACTGGTGCACACCAGAAGTAATTCCCTTGAAATCAGTGGAGTTTCACCAGTGTAGCACTGGTGCAAACCAGTAAAGCCTGAAAATTTTTCTGGATTCATACTGTTTAATTGAGGATCTGGTTCCATACGAGTGGATCTCTCATGAACCTCTGAAGATGGAAGAGTTACCTTTTTCAAATTTTGCTGAATAGTTGTGCTGTCTCTGTCCACAACCTTCAGCATTTCTTGGCTTGCCATGTAGAGGATATTCGCTGCAGAGAAAGAAAACAAACATAAAATTACAAAATAAATCTCTTACTGGAAAACATGGGCCTGATCTTGCAAACAGATATGACCAACTATAGAGCTTGTCTCTATAGACAATCCCACTGAAGACAACACAGCTGACAGAAAGGGCCTCCATGGAGGGCTGCCGCATACCAGCCCAGCGCAGGGTGACAAGGGCATGCAGCAAGGCGGTAGCCGTAGACTTCAAGAGGGCCAACTTCAACGAGTTGAAGAGATTGGTGGGAGAGGCACTGGGGTTCTCGAGGGCAGGGGAACTCAGTGCCCAAGATGAGAGGTCGTTTCTTAAGGAGACGATACTCAGGGCCCAAGGGGTGACGATCCCAACAAGAAGCAAGGGGGGCAAGAGTGCCCAGAAGCCCCCCTGGCTTACCAAGGACGTCCGGGAATGCCAGGTTGCCAAAAAGGCGGCGTACACCTGGTGGAAGCGGGGGGCTATCTCCAAGGAGGAGTATACCTCCACTGCTCGGGCCTGTAGGGAGCTGTTAGGAAAGCTAAGGCGGACATAGAGCTAGGACTAGCGTCCAAGATCAAAGATAATAAAAAGTCCTTTTTCCAATATATAGGGAAGATGAAGAAGGCACCGGGAAACGTGGGGCCCCTGCAAGATGCGCTGGGCAATCTGGTGGTTGCGCCAGAGAAGAAAGCAGACCTCTTTAACAAATTCTTCACCTCCGTTTTCTTGTGCAGGGACCAGGACTCCCCCACCGTGATTCAAGACGGACTCAAGGGGAACACTTCCAGACCTAAGGTTGAGGAGGACCGGGTTAGAGTGCTTCTGGAGGGGCTGGACGTGTTCAAATCAGCAGGTCCAGATGCTCTCCACCCCAGGGTGTTGAGGGAGCTAGCAGGGGTTATTGCAGGGCCCT